GGTGTCTCCAGTCCCTGCGGCAGGTGCCCTCGAGGCCGTGCTCTGGGGCTTCGTGCCCCGGAGCTTTTCGCTGGCGTCTCCATTCCCTGCAGCAGGTGCCCTCGAGGCCCGACTGTAGGATGGCCGGGGGACGCTTCAGCCTGGCCAGGCTGCTCAGGAGGAAACAAAAGAAGGCAGGCCCTGGGCCTGTCCCAGCAGAGCAGCCTGAAGAGATGGAGCAGCCCCAGCCCCTGCAGGAAGGTGAGAGGCAAAGCTGGGCCACAGGGCTGGTGGCTGCAGCCAGATGGGCCTCTTCCCATCCCATTCCATCCCCTGTGGACATGGCCAGGGAATAGGAGGGGAGAAGAGGGCCCATGGCTGATCCCCTGGTAGCTCCATGCACTGGGCATCCCGGGGCTGGCCCTGCCTGTGGAGTGCAGGGCTGGGCTGTGTTCTCTGGGCTGTCCCGCAGCTCCTCAGCTCTGACTGTGCTCTCTCTTTGCCAGATCCAGGCCGGCACAGGACACAAGAACAGGACCGTGCCCGTGGCCGTTTCCGCAGGGCAGCACAGGTACCTGCAGTGTGTCAGAGGGCCCTTTGTGACACAGTGGGTGTCACCAATGGGATGGACTGGGGCAGGGTGTCACAGGGCCCTTTGTGACACAGTGGGTGTCACCAATGGGATAGGCTGGGGCAGGGTGTCACAGGGCTCTTTGTGACATGTGATGCCATCGCCTCCTAGGCTGGGCCTGGCTGTCCCTGCTCAGCCTGGCACTGCTGACAGAGCTCTCCATGGCCCATCCCTCTCTTCCCTGCTCTCTGTTCTCCTGCAGGCCTTTCTGAAGTTCCTGGGCATTCGACGTAAAAGGACCACAACCAGACTGACTAAGGCCATGGCACAGCCTGACCTCAGGCTGACTGGGCTGGAGATGAAGCCTGATGTCAGCACTGCACTGACTGATGGCACAGGAAACTGTGACACCTCGCCGATTGTTCACACAGCAGAGTCTGACCCTGCTTTGACTGAGGATACAACAGACACTGACACCTCACCGATTGATTGTGCAGCAACCTCTGACATCGCGTTGACCGATGAACCAGCAAACTCTGACATTTCCTTGCCTGATTTCACTGTGGAGGCTGACACTGCAACAACTGAGGGCACTGC